CTCCTGCCCGCTTTGCTGGACTTCTTCCTCAGAGGGGTGCACTGATCCTGAGCCTGGAGGAAGTGACGCTTGAATATTAACCAGCTTTCTTGGACCCCTCTTCCTTCTAGGGCCCTACCCCAGGAGATTCCCCTAAGTAGGTCCCTGAAGAGGCCAAAGTCAGCTCTCCTGAATATACTGTGATTTGTAAAAGGGTTTGAGGTGGACTACTCTTCCCTCCTATTTAGATGACATATAGTAGTTTGGCCTATTTCTGATGTGCATTATGGCTTTTGGTTGGTAGCACTGGACTCTCTTTCTTGGAAAAAGACACTAGAACAGTAGGCAGGTCACCTAATGGATCCTGACCTCTACCAGTGACTGTGATTAATGTTGGTGCCTCTCAGGAGACTTGAGCTGGATGTGGCAATAAGTATTGGTGCCTTACAGATATGCTTGTGTTTGCTTGCCTCTGTTGCTTAGCATTTTGTGCAATTAGGACTGACTTCCCAGGCTTTGGATGCAGCTCACAATTGTTTCATGTAAGGCATCTTATAATACAGACTAATTCCACTGGGTTACATCTGCTCACTGAAATCAGCTTATATTGAATTAGATTTGAAGTATTCTGGCCATTCCTAAAAATTAATAGGAGTTGTGCTAATGCATTCAAAAAATCTTTGTATTTATGAATGTAAATATAAAATATAAGCTGCCTGAGTAGTCTCTTGCACAGATCTCTCGTTGAGAGAAGATAGCTTTCTGTCACAAATACAGTTTAGTTTGCAACCAGGAATCCAACACCTTGGGTTAAATTCAGTGTAGCTCTCCTCTTGAATAGGCATATTCTAATCTGGCATTTGAGGCAGATTTTGCAGAACAGTCTTATTGAAATGCATTCCTATAAATATAATAAAAGCCCTCCTGGCTGACTCTCAGCTTCCAAATGCTCTGTGTTCGTATGGTGGTGCTTTGTTCTGAGGTCAGTCCTTCCAACCAAAGCACGAAGAGGCTTTGGTAGGTAGCTGCAGTTCGAGGTGCGTGCTCTAGTCTCTTGTTTTTCATCATGTAGCCCTTCCATTCGTTACGTGACCTATGAGCATCTTTGTTAGGCATTGCCAATATCCCTTTCTTTATTTAGAAACGCACTCTAGTCCTAGAGTATGTTGCAAGCCATCAATTTTCAATATACTTTCCTACTGCTGGACTTGAGCTTTGGGAGGAAGAAGCTGAATACCCTTTT